ATATGTGTGTGTGTGTGTGTGTGTGTGTGTGAGTTTTTTGGTTAACCAGAGTTAATTTTGAAAAAAAACGTGGTATGGTTAGTTGTTATGGTTTTTCGATTTATGTGAAATTGTGAGGCAAAAGAAAAATAAGAGCAACCCATAAGTTATTTCAAAATTATATGCACACATATACCTTATGAGGACATGAAGCCTGTTGGATCTTTAGGGTGTGTTTGGATACAAATATTATCTGCTGAAAACGAGTTTTTATTTTTATTTTTATTTTTTTATATTTTGTTTTGTTAGCCAAAGTTAATTTTGAAAAAAAAAATGTGGTATGGTTAGTTGTGGAGTGAAATGTTGAGTTTATGTTAAAATAGTATTTAAAATAAAATAATTAAAGCTGATTTGATGAAAAAGTAAGAGAGAGATGATGTGAAGTGATGGTTAGTTAAAATTATGTGAATGGATGAATGGTGAATTACAATTGATATAATGTGTAAGAATGATTGATTGATATTATTTAATTATGTTGATAATATTGAGGATTAGTGAGGTTTGGTTAAAGTTGAATTAGATTTTGAGTATGAATTTATAAATAAAGATTTGGTTATTATATAAACAAACACAACCTTAAGGAAGATTCACGATGCCAAATGAATTGTTTTTTGCATTCTGATTCTCTTTTTCCGTTTTAAATCAAGATTTTACTGAGACCAACGTGTTCTTTCGTGTGTGTGTTTCTTTTTTCTAGAACTTGAGGCCAGCTGTACCTAAGGACTGTGCCCCAGCCATGAAAGCTTTGGTCGAACAATGTTGGTCCTTGCATCCGGACAAAAGGCCTGAGTTCTGGCAGATCGTGAAGGTTCTAGAAGAATTCGACTCGTCACTAGCTCTCGATGGAACCTTGAATCTCGTGCAGAACCCGATCTTCCATGACCCAAAAAAGGGATTTCTCCACTGGATTCAAAAACTCGGTCACCAGAACACTTCTTCATCTGGGCCTAAACCTAAATTTACTTGAAACTTACATTTTAGGTTGATTTGGTTTTTCGTAGTTTCATTGGGCCTCTTTGTAATTAAACAGGCAGTAAAACGAGCATCGTTTTTTTTTTTTTTTTTTTTCGTTTGATTTTCTCGTTTTCAGGGTGTGCCCAGTTGTGAATTGTTAGACCGTAGCCTGCATTAGCTCTATATATTTGGCTATGCATGCTGGGGATGCAAATCATTGGGTTTTGGGTATGGTTTGCATCAGTTTTATCTGATTATTGACTGAACTTTTTTGGGTATATTTAGTTGTGTTGCTTTTTTTGCCTTCATCATTTTTGTAACTCCTATAGTAAACTTGATAATAATTATACTATGAAATAACATACTTTTTATTTATATCGTATTTCAGAGTATGCAGAGTATGGTATTTCTGTTAGAAAATATGTATATTTGTAGAAAAAGTACAATTATCTAACGTTTTGGGTGATAACAATCATACTTTATTATTAACAAAAATGCATACTAATATTATGAAACTGACATATTTTCATTTATGTTGTTTAATAAAATATGAGATTTGAGCATGATAAGTATATAAATATGTAGAAAATATTATAACTGATTAACCATTGTTATATTTACTCCTGCTGAGAAAATGCATGGCATCTTTTGACTTCACTGTGTGAATGTGATGGGACTTATATTAATTAATTCTATGCTATGCAGAGGTATACTTGTATGAATTGAATTTTGATCATAGGTTATATAGTTGTACTTTTATGAACATGCATGTGACATTTTAATTCTAATGGAAAAGTCTGTTTATTTTACTTTGATATGTTCACATGTTTCATATTTTCGATGAGTAGAGTTGTGATATTTTGGACGACTTTATAGGTGGTGTTCCATAATATATATATATATATATATATATATATATATATATTCAGAATGTTCTCATCAACAATCCCCTTATATATAATTCCCGAATGCGCTGAGCCTACGTGGCTGCTTCTGGTGCTTCGGAATCCTACTTGGCAAAGAATCATGCTTCGTAATTAGGTTTAGACAAATAATATTTATATATTAATAATTAATAATCTAGGTTAGGATATTCCATAAATATTATTTAGCTAACTTAGGTATTTTAATATCACTTGTACTAATATAACCCTTTAATTCTTTGTAATTTTACATAGTGAGGTACTAAGTGACTAATATATCCTTGCCTTTTGATTTGTTTCCTTCAATTAACTATTGAATTGTAAATGTATTTTAAAAGTTGATACCTTTTGTATTTCTTATCGGTTTTACATATATTATATATCAAATTAATCATCTTTTGATAATGTTCGATTTGACATTCATATTGTATATATGAAATAAATAAATCATATTATCTTTATTATAAAAATAGTAATATTCATTAAAATTCATTAGAAAAATAAAATTATTTCTCACTTGATATATTTATGTTTAATGTAGTTATATGTTGTAAGTTATAAAAATCCTCCCTATATATAATTCTCGAATACGCTGAGCATATGTGACTGCTTCTGGTGTTTCGAAATCCTACTTGGCAAAAAATCATGCTTCGTAATTAGGTTTGGATAATAATATTTATATATTAATAATTAATAATCTAAGTTCGGACATTCCATAAATATTATTTATCTAACTTAGGTATTTTAATATCACTTGTACTAATATAACCCTTTAATTATTTGTAATTTTATATAATGAGGCACTAAGTGAGTAATATATCCCTAACTTTGATTTGTTTCCTTCAATTAACTATTGAATTGTAAATGTATTTTAAAAGTTGATAACTTTTGTATTTCTTATCGGTTTTACATATATTATATATCAAATTAATCATCTTTTGATGATCTTCGATTTGACATCAATATTGTATATATGAAATAAATAAATTATATTTATCTTTATAATAATAAAAAATAATAATGTTTATTAAAATTCATTAGAAAAATAAAATAATTCATCAGTTGATATATTTATTTTTAATGTAGTTATATGTTGTAAGTTAAAAATATATTATAATATAACACAGGTAAGTCGCACAAATAAAAAGTGTCATACTAAATATATAATAATATATATATATATTTGTAAAAGGTATTTAAATTGTCAACTACTTTTTTCCCATTAATTTTAGATTTTAAGAAAAAAATTAGTAAATACCCGTGTAATACACGGGGTGTTGTACTAGTATAATTTTATTCTTATAAATTTTATACAAAACTCAATTATTGTTAATTTTTTAAATAAAATTTATACCATTAATGTACATATATATGGCTAACTAATAATCATTATTTTATTATTTTTGCATCACATAGTTTATAATCCTTATATTTGCTATATATCATACAATAATTTATTGTTAAATTAATTACTCTGACCCTAAATTGATTCAAACTATTGAAACAAGATGTAGACTATGATAAGATATTTTGTATTTGTAGGATGTTTTACAAGGTGTAGAATATCCAAAAATATCTTGTATTAAAAAGTTGGAGGCTAGGTCAAATAAAGTTTTATCATTTATAGTTTTTTTTTTTCCATATTTTATCATCATAAGATTTAATTTGAATAGCTATATTTCATTTGTATGACTTATTTTTTTTTATTAATTAATATTTGGTATATTTTGTTTTTACTTTAATGATAATTTGATATCATAGTAATTAGTCTAAAAAGGACTCAGTATTAGAATCTTTGTATTAATGGTTTTATATTAATTTATCAAGAAATGCGTTTGAGTATATATAAATATACTAGTATGTAACCCGTGCGATGCACATGCTAGTACATATTTTGGAAAATTTAAAAAATTAAAAGGTCATTAATTAATAAGTTATTATAATACGCAGGACATTCATAAAGTAAACATAAATTCTTCATTGATAAAAAATCATACATTATTAAAAACCTCCTTATATACAATGTTATTAGTTTGATTACTGGGCAACTCATCGTCCCCACAAACTAATATTTTTAACCCCTTCCTATTAGTAACACGTGAAACAACGACGTATAACTGGTCATGACTAAAAAAATTAAATGAGTTAATTTTCACAGGCTCGGTCTGTTTAAGTCTAAAAAGTAATAAGGTTATCGTCTATTTTCCACCTCTCTTTTTGTGAGTGTTAAGTACAGAAAACAATAGGGTTATAATCAAGTTTTCGTAACTCGCTATATTAAAAAGAAGCTTTAAATTATATTTTATACTATATTATTATTTATAATTAATCATGCTTAATTATAAATATTTATGAAATTAGTATTTAGTCGAATAACTAATTATAAATATTTTAAAAGTGAGGAATCACCAGTTCCAATTAATAAAAGAAAAATACTATATGTACATAATAAATGTACATAAAGATGTACATAACACTCACATAGTCTGTAATCCTTATATTTGCTATATATCATACAATCATTTTTTGTTAAATTAATTACTCTGACCCTAAATTGATTCAAACAATTGAAACAAGATTTTTTTTTTAAAAAAAAAAATTGCATCAATGTCTATGTGCAACAAGATGTAGACTATGATAAGATATTTTGTATTTTGTAGGATGTTTTACAAGGTGTAGAATATCCAAAAATATCTTGTATTAAAAAGTTGGAGGCTAGGTCAAATGAAGTTTCATCATTTATAGTTTTTTTTTTTTTTTTCCATATTTTATCATCATGAGATTTAATTTGAATAGCTATATTTCATTTGTATGACTTATTTTTTTTTTATTAATTAATATTTGGTATATTTTGTTTTTACTTTAATGATAATTTGATATCATAGTAATTAGTCTAAAAAGGACTCAGTATTAGAATCTTTATTATATTACTAAAAATCATATATTTATGTATTAATGGTTTTATATTAATTTATCAAGAAATGCGTTTGACTATATATAAATATACTAGTATGTAACCCGTGCGATGCATGGACTAGTACATATTTTGGAAAATTTTTAAAAAATAAAAGGTCATTAATTAATAAGTTATTATAATGCGTAGGACATTCATAAAGTAATCATAAATTCTTCATTTTAAAAAGTCATACATTATTAAAAACTTCCTTATATACTTCCTTATATACCATGTGGTAACTCATCGTCCCCACAAAATAATATTTTCAACCCCTTCATATTAGTAACACGTGAAACAACGACGTATAACTGGTCATGACTAAAAATATTAAATGAGTTAATTTTCACAAACTCGGTCTATTTAAGTCTAAAAAGTAATAAGATTATCGTCTATTTTTCACCTCTCTTTTTGTGAGCGTTAAGTACACAAAACAATAGGGTTATAATCAAGTTTTCTTAACTTGCTATATTAAAAAAAGGCTTTAAATTATATTTTATACTATAGTATTATTATTTATAATTAATCATGCTTAATTATAAATATTTATGAAATTAGTATTTAGTCAAATTTATAAATATTTTAAAAGTGAGGAATCATCAGTTCCAATTAATAAAAATACATAAAGAAGATTGTATAACATAAGGGAAAATACCAACAAAAGGGATTAATTAAAAGTTTTATTTTCATTTGTAATTATTATATCATATCTAAAAAATAATATTAAAGTATTTACAAAATAAATTGACTCAAGTAATTGGACCTATTCATATAATATATTTTTAAAATAATAATAATTATTAGTTTATTTTATAAACTTATCAAGAAAAATTATAATTAATGTATCCTTTAGAATTTATGTTTATTTTAATTTAATTAAGAAGTTATGGAAATAACTCATTTAGAAAACATTCAACCTAGTAAGTAAACCTACTGCTACACATAAACGTACGCAGCTTGGGGAGAAGACAGAAAAATTCTACAGGTAAAGGAATTCAAATTTTATATCATGCTTTTTTTTTTTCCTCATGTCGATTTATGTACAAAGTTGATAAGGTTAGAAAGGAATAAGAAATTGAGGAGGAAGAGAATTTGAGAGGAAGAAAAGAGATTGTCTGTTTTGCGAATTTGAAAAGATAAAAAATTACGGGAAAATAAGAAGAAAAACGTGGAGAAACAAAGAGAAGATAATAAAATAAATCCACAAAAAAAACCATAAATATAGGGTTGAAGAACTGATTTTGGGCTGACCAATACATGTAAAGATTTAATGGTGACCGATTTTTTGGCAACAAAATAATATTGAATTTGAAAAAAAAAATAGAAATAGAATGCATTAATTGTATTTTGACTTTTCTTGTTACTAAATTTAGTAAATAAGATGACTCTTTATATAGATATAAATTTATACATAACCGGTTCAAACATTTATACACATTTTTTTGAATAATTTTACAAGGAATACTACATTTTAAATAAAACCGTAGTTTAACCATTAGTAAACTAGTCATAAACTAAAAAATAATGAAATTTAAAAATGATTGACAACTATAAATTAAAATTCATAAATAATAAAATTTAGTATATTTATAATTGAAATAAAATCTTTACAAATGTGAGAAAAATGGAATTTGAATAATGGACTTGTACATGTTTGTTTCATGTCTAAAACCCACCAAAAATCGCCCAGTGTTTTGAAGATCAAATGTTCCAGCCCAAATCAAGAAAGCCCATTTATAGAACAAATCAGCAGACAAGATTGTAAAAGCCCAAATACAACGCTAGGTTATCCCCTCAATACAACTTGGCTCCAAATTCCAGTCCACAACACAAACCTCGAAATATCGAAAACCCTAATCTCTCTCACCTGATCTCCAGCAAACAACAGCAGCAATCCAATCAACTATGGTAGGCTTCGAGGTAGGCGCCGTGCCGTTCAACCCCGACGGTTGGGGTCCGCCGGAATCTGCCTCCGCCTCGCTTTCCGTCCCCAACCACCCCTCCAACGTCCCCTTCGCCCCCTTCTCCCGCTCCGAGAAGCTAGGCCGGATCGCCGACTGGACCCGGAACCTCAACAACCAGGCACGGCCCGGATCCAAGCATGGCGGAGGCTACCACCCCTCCGACTCCGCCTTCGATTTCTCCGGCGACGACTCGTTCGCCACCCTCGCCGCCGACGAGGACGCCTCCTTCCGCCTCGTCGACACCTCGTCCAAATCGCACCACTACAACCCCAACCGCCCCAAGTTCAACCCCCGGTGGCGGTTCAACCCCCACCACGCCCGATCCCAGCTCCCGCAGCGCCGTGACGAGGAGGTCGAGGCCCGGAAGCGCGAGGCCGAGAAGGAACGCGCCCGCCGTGATAGAATGTACAACAACCGCTCCCAGATGCCCCAGCGCCGTGAGTCGTCGGTTTTCAAGTCGTCAGTCGATATTCAGCCCGAGTGGAACATGCTGGATCAGATCCCGTTCTCCACCTTCTCCAAGCTTTCCTTTTCCGTCCCGGAGCCTGAGGATATGCTGATTTGTGGCGGGCTCGAATTTTATGACAGATCTTACGATCGGATTACTCCGAAGAACTGCCGTCCGTTGGAACGTTTCAAGAGCCGGAATTTCTTCCGGGTTACCACCTCCGATGATCCGGTTATCAGGCGTTTGGCAAAGGAAGATAAAGCTACAGTATTTGCTACAGATTCTATTCTTTCCACACTAATGTGCGCCCCAAGATCGGTTTACTCATGGGATATTGTGGTTGAACGTGTCGGGAATAAGCTTTTCCTCGACAAAAGGGACGGTTCCCAGCTAGACTATCTTTCTGTGCACGAGACTTCTCAGGAGCCCTTGCCCGACGTGAAAGATGATATTAATTCCATTCACTCTTTGAGTGTAGAGGCTGCTTGCATTAACCAGAACTTCTCTCAACAGGCTCTGATTAGGGATGGGAATAAGGTAACTTTTGAGGAACCCAACCCGTTTGCAAACGAGGGTGAAGATGTTGCTTCAGTTGCTTATCGGTACAGAAGGTGGAAGTTGGATAACGATATGTATCTGGTTTCGAGGTGTGAGGTGCAGAGTGTGTTAGATATGAACAATCAGAGATCTTTCTTGACTCTAAATGCTTTGAATGAGTTTGATCCTAAGTATTCTGGTGTTGATTGGAGGCAAAAGCTCGAGACACAGAGGGGTGCTGTTTTGGCTACTGAGTTGAAAAACAATGCGAATAAATTGGCCAAATGGACTGCTCAGGCTTTGTTGGCCGGTGCCGATATGATGAAGCTTGGATATGTCTCAAGGGTTCACCCAAGGGATCATTATAACCATGTGATATTGGCTGTTGTGGGGTACAAGCCTAAGGATTTTGCTGCACAGATCAATCTAAATACTTCAAACATGTGGGGGATTGTGAAGAGTATTGTGGATCTGTGTATGAAGTTGAAGGAGGGAAAATATGTGCTTGTTAAGGATCCGTCGAAGCCACAGGTGAGGATTTATGATGTTCCACCGGATGCTTTTGCTAACGAGTACGTGGAGGAGCCGTTGCCAGAGGAGGAGCAGGTTCAGCCTCCGGTTGATGATGCAGATGGCTTGGATGCGAATGCAGCTAAAATCGATGGAGATGATAAGGATGTGAAAAATGAAGCTGTTGTTTGAAGGGTAATTTTTTTTTTTTTTTCTTTTTTTTTTTGGTGATGAGCCTTCTATTATGGTTTGATATTTAATTTGTGTTGGATGTTTTAGCTAGTGATGACTATCGGTATCATTCTCTTTCCTTCTTGCGAGTTCGCCTATTTGACAACAGTTTTGGTGAATTTCGATCTATAATTGATGTGCTGAAGTTGAATTTGCAATCTGGGATTAGAGGATTGTTCTTGTAGTGCATGCATGAGCATTTTGATTTGGTTTGCTGCTTGTGTTAAGGTTAATGAAGAAGAAATATTTTCTAAATTGGGAGTTTGCATATATGTAGTAGTATATATAATGAATATGACTGTCATTAACTTTGGGGGTATGGCATATATAAATGCAGTAGCTTTGCTGATGAGTTCAAATCTTTATTCTCATGTATTGGTGATGTAAATATCCACATGAATTTATGTATGACCTAATATTACAACTTTATATTCGGGGAATGTGAATTTGCCCCGACTGTGATGAGAGTATCATTTATCATTGTTGACCAGCCCGAGAGGAATTATTTTCCTTCTCCTAGAACTGATGTTCATTCGATGATTAGTTTGGATTTCATGGCCTTCACTATAGTAATCATTTAGTTAGTTGATCACTTGGTCCATTCTTTTGTTTAATGCTTTACAACTGTAGCTGAAGTATTTACTTATCTTAGCTTATTGACCTAGAATTATTCGTGCATAGTAGCGTTGCAAGGTACATCCAGCATATCATAACTCAAATAAAATCGTGTCGTAATATTTTCCTTATATTGCACTCATTTTTGCCCATCTTTGATTTGTAATGTTCACACCATTTGGCTTTTTAACTTCTTTCCTTACCCTTTAACAAACTGGGCTAGATTGTTTAACGTAAACAATTTATTTGGTTGCCAGGAGAAAACTAGTTGCTCTGGGTCCATGAGAAAGAGATTTTGTTGCATAGACTGGTTTTTCGCCAACGTCGTGTCTGAAAAGAGGGCAAGAGTCAGAGAAGAGTTCGTAAGAAAAGATTGAGCACGGTTTCGTTCTTCTTTTCCTTTTTCTTTTTCCTTTTTGTTTGAGTTTATTGACTAGATATTTAATGGTAAACCTTTGTTGAGCACAATTTTCTCTCGTTGGTGTACTTTCTGCTGGGATGTTTTGTCTGAAGAATTTTGGTCGACGAGCGTGGTACTAATAACACCCTTATTTTACGAGTCAATTTATATCACCAGAAAGACTTATTTTCGGTTATCTGAAGGTATTTTATTTGTAGGTTTCATCTTTGAATCGAAATTCTACGACCTTTCAAATTCTTGATATGTGAGTGTGTGACTTTTGATTTGTGTTGTGAGTCTAGGAACTTTTCAGTTTAAACCTGTTCTCTTTGGTAAGTTTGGATACACTTATATATTGCTGGCTTTTTATATTGTTACATATCATCATATAAATAGTAACAGCTTTTCTTCACACTTACCTGCATTTGATGAAATCCTTTTGAGTAAATTGCAAAGTTTATTAAGGGACAGTATACTTAATTTTACCAATTATTTATAATAGTCTTATTATTAAGAGGTCTTCGTGGATTACTTGCACGGAACGAACGATGAAAAATCAAAATTAATTTAAATGTCGATTTATAGTGTAAGAAATTTTAAGCTAGAAATAAAATATAAGAAGATTTATTATAAATAGATACACACACATAGATATTGTTTGTGGAGTTTTTATTTATCATTTAGGAAAATAAACAACTTATTATAGCACGTTAATTTTTTTGTTCATACTGATTTATTTTCTATTTTTTACTATTAAAAGTACGTTACCACAATTTGTCTGATATCTTGCATCTCAATTCTCAATTTCATTGTCTCGTATTCATGTTATTTACTTTATTTAACAACAAATATAATCATAAATCAAATTTAACTATATTTTAGCCCTTGTTTGGCAAGTTAGTTATTGTGTTGTTGTTTTATTATATGTTAGATGCAATGGTACATATTTATTCTCATTTTTTTCACTATCTATCATTCTCATATACTCCCAACTCTCTCTCTCTCTCTCTCTCTCTCTCTCTCTCTCTTCAAGCTTAGTGTGAGAACCACTATTTTAGTTGTACGTGGTGCTATGATTAATTGTGTTTGAGAGCTATTTTTAACATAAATTTATTTTATTAAAAATAGCAACACAATTTATATTAGCATTTGTGAAAATGATAGCATTATGTGTGTTAAAAAAATAACATCATATACAATTATAAATAACATTAAATATGATGTTCATCGAATTTTTGACCGACACCGGTTTTTTATTTGAATCCGCCCATATATCATACACAATTAACTTTTCCAAAAGTTAAAGTGTTCTTTAAACACATTGGTATTGACGATTTGCCTTAATCAAACCATTTACCAAACAAGGTAATTATTATTCATTTTGTGTTTTGCACGCATAATGTTGCCTTTCAGTCGTGTTTGCTTGTTTCCGTTAGCAGCTGCCTGTTTTTTTTTTTCCTTTGCATTTGGAGGAGAAACCCATCAGCTTAGTGTGGGCCCCACTCGGCATTCAGGCCGCCCAAAGTTTTTTTTCCGAATCTGTGTAATGTTACCAACGGCAACTAAGTACACAGCCGCCCTTTCATTAATCTCTTCAACAAATATATTATATATCTCATGCTGTTATAAATTCCTCACATCACCAAACAACAAAAAAATCATTCAATATTTGATGTTCTTTTTTTCTTGATTTTTATCACAAAAAAAAAAGGTGAAGCATTGTATTATTTGCCTCTCGTGTAGTCGAATGGCGTCTCTTGTTCTTCTTCTTTCCGAGGTTTTCCGGCGTGATGATGTGGACAAACTAATCATGCCGCCGCCGCGATCATTCTATGGCGAGGCTCCGTCGACCTCCGCCGACAGACCGGCTGCCGGAAGAAGGCCCGGGAGAAATACGAGGTGCAAGAATTGTGTCGAGGCCGAATATCAGGAGGAGGAGCTGCCTAGGGTGTGTGTTGATTTAAAGTGGAACTGATATAGTTTTATAGATTTTCCCTTTCTTTTTGTGTGTGTGTGTGTGTGTTTCAATTGGCTCTCCTTTTTCTCTTCATGTAGTTACCTTTTTTTTTTTCTTTTTAAAAACAATAATTACATTAAAATTGAAAAACTCTACATCAATGTGTCGACGAACACTACTATAACCAGTACAAAGACTGAGAATCCACCTCCTTACACAGATGACCAAGGAGGTATAATTGAACTCCAAAAAAAAAAAATGATTAGTCAATTTCGTAAAGGAGACTAAGACTTATGCAACTGGACTACAACTGAAAAAAGTTAAAGAAAAAAAGAAAATAAAACAACTACCAACACAAGATCTAATTGATAAAATAAAGTTCTCCCCAACCGCCACCTAAAACTACGAATAACAGCAACCGTTCCAAACACCCAACCATTCAACCACCATAATATTTAATTAATTTATCTATCTTTCACATCATCAATAATCATCCCAACCACACCATCTCAATTGTGCAAGTTTATCAGCAACCACACCAACATTCAACCACAAGAATTTTTTTTTCTTAATTTGATTTTATTTAATTATTATATATTTTTTTTTATTTCATTTTATTTTAATTATTAATTAATTCTTTTATTTGCTTTGATTTAATATAATTATATAATTATTTTATTTGCTTTGATTTAAGAAACATACGAATTTAAAAACTATATATTTATGTCAATTTAAAAATAAAAAAGAAGTATAGCAAAATTGATCTCAATTAAAAATTATGAATTTTGGTATATTTATTTATTTTTTTTATTTGATTATATAAAAAATATATTAGTTTAAAAATTATTAAAAAAAAAAAAGATGAACAATGGGATGGAGACAAGTGTCTCCATTCCATTGGTTACTTTATCATAAGACTAACTCAACCACTTGGTTGCCTATCCCCCAAAAACACACCACCGGTCTCTCCTCTTTTCTCATTTTTCTTTTTCTTTTTTTTGTTTCACCTGGACACACCAGGTCTCTTAGTGGTTGTTGTTATTGGTAGTCTAACAACACCTCCAACACAACCACCCAAGACAACTAAACGAAGATAATCTACAATGAAAAGCCCAACCACAGTCAAGAATACCCGTTGGCCGCCCATAGGAAGGAGGGAATTGGGGAGGCGGAAAATTTTAGATATGAAGTTTACTGTTTTTCTTCCATCGGAGAGGTTTTTGAGTTACAAAGTTAAAAACCATAAATTACACATACATGTTGTTGTTGGATCCAACTTGAGGCGAAAATCATTGCTTTAATCCAGGAGCTTTTGTATTGAATAATTGAGAATCGAGACTGAGTAACGAAGTGTATTTGAATCTATAGGTGATTGATTTGAGGATTTAGCCTTCTAGGTCTATACGATCTATACCTTTTAAAGAACCCTTTACCTTTTCTCCGTAACCTCTCTGTCGATTGGATGCGTATGACCTAGGGACCACAACTCTTTATGTACATTAAGTTACATTGGGTATTTATATTTTATCTCATCATTAAAATAGAGAAAACACATTAGTTTCTACACAATAAAGGCCAACACCTTATTGATACTGCCCAATAACTTTGAAGCTTAATTGATCACTTTTATTTGGGTTTCTTTAATTGACACCACAATACAATAATTATTTCACATATTAGCCCAATGTTGGATTAAGGACCAACAATTGTTACTTGTGGAACTGTTGTTATGTGATTGTTAACAACGATTACGAATATGATTAGGTAAGTATTTTTGAGTGATTTGAACGTAAAAACATGCAATCAAAACTCGAACAATGGCCCCGGTCCGAGGTGAACCGAGTTGTTACGTGTTTATGATCAAAATGGTTTGGGGATCCCCGTACAAGAATATGAAGTAGCTATTTATAGTAATTTTTTGGGTCCGTATCTCGAGGTGTAGGGTCACTTTTTCTTGTAAAGTAGCTTTTTTGTGGGCGGCCATGTGAG